ATTAGTATTTTGGTAGTAGTAGGATTTTATTGCTTTCTAGTATTACGATTTCTACTATTGCAAGATTTAGGAGATCTAGTTTATTTAGGCTTAGATTTATTTTGCACCTATAAATACCCCATGTACCTCATCATAATTTTAGGTATTGAATTGAGTATTAAATTGGTGAGCCAATTGAGAAGGGGAACTTATGTTCTTACGTGTGTTTAAACAAGGCCGTTAGAGCGTGTTTACATACAGTGTCGGAGAGAAGGCCATTAGAGCGTCTTGAAGTCACAGTGTCTAGGAGAAGGCCGAAGTGCGTCTGTTAGATACACCTATCATGGATAAACGAAGGCCCTGAGTGCACGTTTATTCACAACCCACGTATAGATAAAAAAAACGATTCATCATCATTGGTGCTTTCATTGAGAGGTGCTGATCGTATTTTTATCTATCTATCTTTTTTCTTTTTTCGGTTTTGCCTTTTGCTGAGGGACCGAATTTTTGTTTATTTTTGGTTCGAAATTTTTGAATTTTTGTTCGAATTTTTCATTTATTTTTTCGTAAGTCTTAAAAAAAAGTGTTATCTTATTAGTCCTTTGTTTGATTTTTTGTTCGGTTATTACCTTTTGTTGAGGGCCGAATTTCTCTTTATTTTATTTTATTTTTTGGTTCGAATTTTTTTTTTTCGAATTATTTTGAGTAAAAAAAAAATTTATGATGTCAAAGCGTGAGAGAATTCAAGCGCTGGAAGACAACATGAAGATCATTGGCGATGGCCAACATACTACCAACGAGAACTTGGGAAGAATTGAGTTGATGGTCCAGGACTTGGCCGGGCAGCTTACGCGCATGAACACACGGCCAAGGAGACGTCACGGGTCGCAGTCCACGGCAACAAGCACCGGGACCGAACACGAGGACGATCGCCGATTGAGGGGCACAGGCGCATCGTGCGCGGATCACCACCACGACGATCGACGATGGCACGACGGTCACGCACACCACAACCGAAGGCGCGACATGGATTACGACCAGCAGTCGTACGCATCGTACGCGTCACGAGCCCCACGCGGCGAGCTGCGCGACCACCGACGCCGCGAAGACCGACGCCACGAAGACCGACGACACGATGGGCGCAACGACCGACGACATGAACACGAGGAACGGGCATCCACAAAACCAAAAATCATTATGCCCACGTTCACGGGAACAGATCCGGACGCATGGTTGAGTCGAGCTGTGCAATTTTTTGAGATCAATGATGTGCCAAGTTACGAAAGGGTTCAAATTGCTGCTTATCATCTTGATGGAAAAGCAAATGTATGGTGGCAATGGGTCTTGCATAAGAACCATGGTGAGCACATGCGTTGGAGGGATTTTGAAAAAGAGCTCATCACGAGGTTTGGATCGAGTGACTACCACGATTACAATGAAGCTTTGTCTAGAATTAAGCAAGTTGGTAGCCTAAGGGAGTATCAAAAGGAGTTTGAGCGCATTGCTAGTAGGGTGCGGGATTGGCCCGAAAGTGCGCTAGTGGGGACGTTTGTTGGAGGACTTAAGGCTGAGTTAGCAGCAGAAGTAAGGTTGGATAGGCCAGCATCGATGCAAGCAGCCATGGAGTCGGCGAGACTACATGAGGATCATCTGATGGCAGTACGCAAGGCCAGGCCGAGCAACATGCGCACGGAGACCAAGCGCACGCACACCGCGACTGAGAAACCAACGGCGAGAATCGAGAACAAGCCGTTGGGTGAAGCTGTTCGAACAACGAGCAATATTCGGCGGTTGACCGATTAAGAGATGCAATGACGACGAGAAAAAGGCCTTTGCTATTCATGTAATGAAAAATTTACACCAGGCCACAAGTGCAAATGTAAGGAAGTACTTTTGTTAGAAATTGGGGAGGATTGTAAGGAGGAAAAACCACAGGAGGAGTCCTTGTTGCATATGGTTAAGAGCAAGAAACGTGGTCCAAAGATGATCACATTTACGGCTGAAATTAGGGGCCAATTTGTGGAAGTATTGGTTGATAGTGGGTCTACGCTAAACTTCATTGATGAGGAGCTGTCCAAAGAAATTGAGATTCCATTCACCAAGGTGAAACCTTTTGGAGTCAAAGTAGCAAACGGAGAAACACTCCGAGGGGATATTCTCTTCAAGGGTGTAAAGATGGAGGCTCAAGTCAAAAGATGAGAGTGGATCTATATGCCTTGCCTTTGAAGGCGACTGATATAGTACTTGGATGCCAGTGGTTGGAGACTCTTGGTCCAATCACAACTGATTATTGGAAAGGAACTATAGAGTTCGGGAGATCGAGTAAGAGGGTCAAGTTGATGACTGAGGATCCAGGCGAGTCACCTAACGAGGATGAAGAGGTCGGTCGAGTTCGGAAGTTGAATTTTCTTATCCTTGGGGACAAGGAAAGTCTTGAAGAGGAGGGGAATGATACGGAAGTGGAGGTTAGCACTTGCGAGGCTAGTAAATTGGGGGAGCTAAAATGCATAAGTAGCGCATCGTGCCTTGATGCGCGCAGGATGGCGACGAGTGCACGCGGATGCGCCGTATGCGATTTGGGCGTGGGCGGTAGTTGGGACACGCGCAAGAGGAAGGGCAGCAGCAGGGCGCAAGCGGATGCACGCGCGTATGGTGCAGGCGCGCAAAGCCTAGTCCTCGCGGAACTAGGCATGGCAACGGGACGGCGTGCACGCGCTGGCGGGACACAGCAGGTGCGGCGATGGAGAGAGGGCACGCGCATGCAGGGGCAGCGCGCGGGATGCCTAAACGCGGTAGGCGTAGGCGAGAGCGGATGGGGCACACGCGCAAGGGCGAAGTCAGCGCATGTTGGGCTCGCGCACGAGCGCGCGCGTGCGACGCGTGGAGGGCGCGCAAAGTAAGGCGGCCGAAAGGATTTGGAAGACTTAGAGCTTTTAGAATTGCTTGGTGTGCAAGCCAAGCATTAGTATTTGAATTATGCTACTTAGCCAACCTCCATTACAACATGGTTTACAACCATGTGTAATGGAGGCATTAAAAAATGGAATAATGCACATTTTTCAATGCCTCCATTACACATGGTTGTAAACCATGTTGTAATGGAGGATGGCTATGTAGCATCACTCTTAGTATTTTGGTAGTAGTAGGATTTTATTGCTTTCTAGTATTAGGATTTCTATTATTGCAAGATTTAGGAGATCGAGTTTATTTAGGCTTAGATTTATTTTGCACCTATAAATACCCCATGTACCTCATCATAATTTTAGGTCTTGAATTGAGTATTAAATTGGTGAGCCAATTGAGAGGGGGAACTTATGTTCTTATGTGTGTTTAAACAAGGCCGTTAGAGCGTGTTTACATACAGTGTCAGAGAGAAGGCCATTAGAGCATCTTGAAGTCACAGTGTCTAGGAGAAGGCCGAAGTGCGTCTGTTAGATACACCTATCGTGGATAAACGAAGGCCCTGAGTGCACGTTTATTCACAACCCACGTATAGATAAAAACACGATCCGTCATCACGCTGTCGCGACGCTCACGGGAGCTGGGGCGCTGTGCTGCGGGCGCTGGGGCGCTGGGCTGCGAGTGTGTGCTGGAGTGCGCTGGGGCGTTGTGATGAAGGACCGCTAATCGGTGTTGTTATTTATACGTGAGTTGTGAATAAACGGCGCACTCAGGGTCTTCATTTATCCACGATAGGTGTATCTAGCAGACGCACTCATGGCCTTCTTCTAGACACTGTGACTTCGAGACGCTCTCAGGGCCTTCTCTCCGACACTGTATGTAAGCACGCACTGACGGCCTTGTTTATCATACGTTAGAACATAAAGTTCCCCCTCAATTGGCTCACCAATTCAATACTCCATTCAACTTGTAAAATATGATGAGGTACATGGGGTATTTATAGATGCCAATTACCTCTAAGCCTAATAGATCTAGATCTCCTATTCTATGCAATAATATAAATCCTAATGCTAGTATATCTCCTAACATCTTCTACTACTAATAAATAAAAGCAATATGGAAATAAAATCCTAACATAACTAAAATACTAATTGTTTGGCTTGCACTCCAAACAATTCTAGAAGCTCTCCAAAACACCTCACATGCTTAAACCCTCGGCCGCCCTAATCCCGCACGCCGCCTCACTCGCATTGCGCGCCGCCTTCGGCGCCTAGTCCTTGAGCGACTAGGTCTTGCGCGTGTGCTCTCCAATCGCATCCACCTTTGTACGCCTCGCCTCCGCTGTCCATGTCCCGCGCGTGCGTGTCCGTGCCCGTCATTCCTAAGCCTGTGCGGTTTAGGCTTCTCGCGTCCGCCCCATACTCGCGCGCCTACGCGCGCCTGTTGCTACTGCTGCCCGACTCCCGCGCGTACTCGCCGTCGCCCGCTACACCTATGCCCACACGGATTAGGCGTTCGCCCGCGTCGCTGGTACTCTCGTGCCCATCGCGCGCCTCGCCCTAGCTGGCCAACCGTCGCGCGTCCCGACCACTCTCGTGGTTGCTGCCTTCGCTCGACGTTCGCGTGCCCCGATCGTTGATCTCATACCCTCGCATATGTTCGCGCGCATCAAGGTACGATGCGCGCTGTTGACTCGTGCTCGCACCCTCGTCGCCAGCCGACTCCTGATGCTCGCTTGATGACCTTGGTTTGTCCCACGGGTCCCATCCTTCAATACGCCTTCCCTCTATGTTCGTGCAATCTCCAGCACGCCAAAACCATCCATCTTCTAACCTTTCCTTACCTCACCTTCGAGCCTCCATCTTTCGTGCTCGTCTCTTTCTCGAACACGGTTTACACCAACACTTCTCCTCTTTTTTCTTCGCCTTGTGTTTCCTTCTAGCTCGTTTGTTCTTGCGCCTCCTAGGCTTGAGCTTAGCTCGTGGACCACATCCTTTTGGCCAATCCCTCTTGCATGATGGCCGGTAAATAGGACTAGATGGCTCCTCCAACATATTTTCTAGCCAAATATTTAGATCGTCGCCATCATCATCGTCGGACTCACCGGGGTTGATGACCACTTCCGTATCATTCCCCTCCTCTTCAGGACTTTCCTTGTCCTCAAGGATTAAAAAATTAAGCTCCCCTTCACCTTCGTCGTTTGGACCCTCAACCACCATCGCTTCTCGGGCTTCCATGAGTTGACGTTGATATTCTTCAATGTTCCTCCGCTCATGGAGCTCGTCCAGATACGTCTTCTCCCAAGGTGTGAGCTCCCTTTCCAAGCCTTCCAACATCTCAAGATCTTCCCAATCCAACTCATCCATTGGTCGGTAAGACATAATTTTTTTATTTATTTATTTTTTTTTACTCTAAAAAAAATTCGAACAAATAGGGAAAAAAATTCGAAAATTCGAACCCCCAACAAGACTCAAAAAAATTGAAACAAAAAGAAATTCGGCCCCTCAACAAAAGGTAATAACCGAACAAAAACAAAACAAGGACTAACAAGATGACACTTTTTTTTTTAATGAAAAATTCGAATAAATTCGAAAATTTCGACCCAAAAAAAAGAAGAGAAATTCGGCCCCTCAGCAAAAGGCAAACCGAAAAAAAAGAAAAAGATATGATAAATAAAAACACGATCAGCACCTCTCAATGAAAGCACCAATGATGAAGGACCGCTGATCGATGTTGTTATTTATACGTGGGTTGTGAATAAACGGCGCACTCAGGGCCTTCGTTTATCCACGATAGGTGTATCTAGCAGACGCACTCAGGGCCTTCTTCTAGACACTGTGACTTCGAGACGCTCTCAGGGCCTTCTCTCTGACACTGTATGTAAACACGCACTGACGGCCTTGTTTATCATACGTTAGAACATAAAGTTCCCCTCAATTGGCTCACCAATTCAATACTCCATTCAACTTGTAAAATATGATGAGGTACATGGGGTATTTATAGATGCCAATTACCTCTATGCCTAATAGATCTAGGTCTCCTATTCTATGCAATAATATAAATCCTAATGCTAGTATATCTCCTAACATCTTCTACTACTAATAAATAAAAGCAATATGGAAATAAAATCCTAACATAACTAAAATACTAATTGTTTGGCTTGCACTCCAAACAATTCTAGAAGCTCTCCAAAACACCTCACATGCTTAAACCCTCGGCCGCCCTAATCCCGCAAGCCGCCTCACTCGCGTTGCGCGCCGCCTTCGGCGCCTAGTCCTTGAGCGACTAGGTCTTGCGCGTGTGCTCTCCAATCGCATCCACCTTCGTACGCCTCGCCTCCGCTGTCCGTGTCCCGCGCGTGCGTGTCCGCGCCCGTCATTCCTAAGCCTGTGCGGTTTAGGCTTCTCGCGTCCGCCCCATACTCGCGCGCCAACGCGCGCCTGTTGCTACTGCTGCCCGACTCCCGCGCGTACTCGCCGTCACCCGCTACACCTATTCCCACACGGATTAGGCGTTCGCCCGCGTTGCTGGTACTCGCGCGCCCATCGCGCACCTCGCCCCAGCTGGCCAACCATCGCGCGTCCCGACCACTCTCGTGGTTTCTGCCCTCGCTCGACGTTCGCGTGCCCCGATCGTTGATCTCATACCCTCGCATATGTTCGCGCGCATCAAGGTACGATGCGCGCTGTTGACTCATGCTCGCACCCTCGTCGCCAGCCGACTCCTGATGCTCGCTTGATGAGCTTGGTTTGTCCCACGGGTCCCATCCTTCAATACGCCTTCCCTCTATGTTCGTGCAATCTCCAGCACGCCAAAACCATCCATCTTCTAACCTTTCCTTACCTCGCCTTCGAGCCTCCATCTTTCTTGCTCGTCTCTTTCATGGTTTACACCAACACTTCTCCTCCTTTGTCTTCGCCTTGTGTTTCCTTCTAGCTCGTTTGTTCTTGCGCCTCCTAGGCTTGAGCTTAGCTCGTGGACCACATCCTTTTGGCCAATCCCTCTTGCATGATGGCCGGTAAATAGGACTAGATGGCTCCTCCAACATATTTTCTAGCCAAATATTTAGATCGTCGCCATCATCATCGTCGGACTCACCGGGGTTGATGACCACTTCCGTATCACGCTGGCTGGCAGCAGTGCACAGGGCCCGGCAGACAAGCAGGGTTTCAAATAGGACCGACCGATTTCAAAATGCACTCGACCGATTTACTTGAAATTTTTACACATTAAAATAGACCCAGAAAGGCATATCGTCACACGGTTTCAGACCCAAATCTTCAGTTTAACATAAGCAACCAATTTTTACGAAAAGACGATGAAAACCTGAACTTTCTAGTTAACCAAGCAATCCTTTGAATTTTCCAACTAAATTTGGACACAACACACATAACATCAGATTAATAACACTCACCAAAAAACACAGAAAAACTCCAAGAATTCAATTTTTAATGATTTTTCAAAGTTTCTTCCCAGAATTTCAAATCGACATTTGACATAGCTACAGACCTCATTTCGAGTTGAAATTTTTACACCACGTATAATACTATCAGAGGGTAATACAATTCAATTTTTACAACAATCGGACAAACACACAATTTATAATGATTTTTTAACAATTCAGCAGCAATGCCCGATTCAAAAATGCATAAGAGACCAATTATTCAACAAAACGTCTAAGACCTTCTCCATGAGGCCAAAGATTTCAAATTTCCCAATAATCCATAGCTCTATTCACGATTTATGCATAAATCACATACGAACACAAATAACGAACGAAACATGAAATTAAATGATCAATATTCAAACCCTAGCATGCAATTCTCCTCAAGGCTTAACATATATCACATACACACATAAAATAAGGAAGTTTAGACAGCCTTGTACCATCCTCGGGGAGATTTGCATGAAAGAGGGTTCGAACGAGGCGAGGAGGGGCTGCGAGTGCACGGGGGAGGGCCTGCGCACGATCGCTGGGCGCTGGGAGGGCCTGTGCGCTTCGCGAGAACGCTGGACAGCGACGGGGAGCACGAACAGCGACGGCCTGGGACGCAATGAACGGCTGCTACACACGAACAGTACGCGATGAGGAGCAGGTCGATGGAGGCGGCAGCGATCGCGATGCTTGACGCGGTGGAGGACGGCAGCGATGGACCACGATGGGGCGACGCACGGCGATTGGAGAAACAAAAAGAAAAAGAAAAAAAGAGAGGGAGCGAGAGAGAGAGGAGAGAAAAGAGTGGTTGCGGGAAAAAAAATGGCGAGGAAGAGAGTCCAATATCTTCTATTTATAGCACTAGGGCTTTGACTTCATAGCTTAGTCAACAAGCTACCCAAGAGAGAGAAAAAGAGGGCTGGGCGGGTCTTAGGCGCAGGCGCGGGCCTTCGGGCCTTGGGCGCGGGCGAGGGCGCGGCTAATTGGCTCGACCCGAATCCCGGTTCGACGAAAATTAAATTAAATAAAAATAGTATTTAATAATTATATAAAATCTCCACATTTAATATTTATTACAAATACACAAAAGGCACATAAAATTCATATTGGCAATTAGACAAATAACAATTAATATTAATGGCAACAATAATAATAAAAATAATAAAAATCCAATTTATTCATAAACGAACGGGGCGTTACAGAAGGAGTACCAGCAGTAGGTTCAGGCACATGAACGACCTTCTTCGCCTTTTTGGTTTTGGGTGCGACAGTTTCGGCAACCTTCTTGCGTTTCTTTGGAGATTTGACGACAAACGAAGAACCTTTTCCTCCTTTGTCACTGGGCTCGGCGACTTCAAGTTGAGAAGCTTTAGTCGTTGAGGATTTTTTAGGGCTTGGAGAAACCCTAGTTGCGGATTTAACGGGAGGTTGAATGTTCTCGGTTTCCATGGTTGAAGGGGTTGGATCTGGTGGAGTATCGGAACTCTGACTTTGACGAGTTGAACGCCGAGATGGCGGAGGAACATTCTTCTTCGATTTCATGGTGCCCTGCTTGGATTTAAGCATTGTCGAGAGGTATAGATTTTCTTGAAGAAGGAATGTTAGAGAGTTTTTAGAAGAACAAACAAATCAGAGATTATGATTGATATGAGAGAGAAGCAAAGGTGATAAGGATGATATAAGAAACATAAATCACAGTTACCAAGGCAGTTACAAGACGGTTCGGCTCTAAGAATTTGAAATTCAAAAAATTTGACCAACACAACACAGGATATTAAAACCGATCCCTCCAAAAAGATCACTTACAAAACTAATTGATACAGTTACCATCTATAACGCATGAAGTTTCAGACACGAATATTGTAACGCCCCGTATTTTATTAATAAAGGAAATACTAGCTTTTAGTTTTAAGCTAGCCTTTATTAATAAATAATCATGTTCAGGTTCAAGTTCAGATTGATCAGTCAGTCATATCCTAGGTTCGACTATTAGTCGATAAGTTATTTGGTTTACTATTTTTGGTAACCGAATAAGTTTTCCAGATTTAATTCCGATTCGTTTAATTAATTAATGAGTCCGGAATTAATTATTCAGTCAGCGATACATTATGTTTTTTTTAAGTTCCGATGTTAATTATCGAAATTAATTATTTTCAGTCAATTCAGTCGAGACTACCGAAATTTAATTTCGACGTACCGGTTACGTTCGGAATAATTTTGGTAATTAAGTATTATGTTTAATTAAATAATTAAACATCAATTAAGTGATTAATTAATATTAATCATAATTTTAGGGCTTAAAGCCGTGCATGATTTGGAATTATTTTCCAATCAATTGTGTAAATGCCGTGAGCTATAGGTTTGTGCATGTTCCAAATTTTCCCAAATCTTGCTAATTTTCCTAAACTTGAAGGAATCAATTTCCTTCCACATATTTACCTATCATGCATGTCCACTTAAGGGGGAGAATTAGTCACCTTTAATTTATCTTAAGAAGGAAGCAAATGTCAAGTTCATAGGAGGCCACATCTCATTTCCGTCATCACATTTCACGGCCACTTAGTATATATAGCATGAGTTGATTAAAATTTTCCCATCTTCCCATACTATATGTGTTGAATCCGACGAGGATCTCGATATGCACAAATCACGGACAAACATTCAACATAAACCTATGCGCAGCGGATCTAAAGGTTTGATGAAGAAAACTTACTGCTTAAAATTTATGTAGATCTGGCTGGCCCGGACAGTTGACCGCAAATCAAATCTTCTCGGAATCGAACAAACTTGACCAATCCGGAAAGCTGACGTCACGGCGAAGTCAACGGCGTTGAC